CCAGACCACTCTAGGCGGCTATGGACTGTGGCCTCTTTTCTACCTAAATGCAAAAAGCTAGCAGGTTAGTTCAGTAAAAGCTAGCAGGTTAGCTCATGTATTATTTAAAAGGAGTTTACTTGCCACCCCTTGTAGTATTATTTTAAATGAAATCAAGCAATTTGACAATCCTGGACACAGCTGTGTCCTTGGACAGCAGTGAGAAGTCTTGCACTTCCTTGACAATGTTCTTTCAAATTCTTCTAGTCTCATTCCTTTCCTATTTTTAATGCAGCAACACCATCTCATGAAGCAAGATTTCTAAAACCAGGACTGAACCCTTGAATCCTAAGCTATATCAAGAATAATTTATGAACATCAGGATTTTTTCCCTGTTGACCATAAATGCAGTAAATAATAGGTGCAAATGGTAATAAGAAAACTTTTGGTCTGGACACACTATGTTTTCTGTTCTGAGAATAGTGGAATAAGGTTAACACATGGTTAATAGAGGGTATAACGGAGAGACGGAATCTTCACGGGGGGGGGGATAGATTTATTTAAGAGAGGCAGTTAGAGAAGCATTTGGCAGGATTTCTTGATTCAGGACCAGAGCAGGGGAATTTATTGAAGTAGTTGCTGAAGTCCACTTATGGTGCCCACTTATGGTGTTAAGTGCTTCTGCAAAAAAATAGCTTTTGGTAGAACTCCTGCACATAACAAAGAATTATATAGATGAGAGCTGTATATAGTCTATGTAAACTGTGTAAGTGTGGAAATAGCATTGGACACATCTTAACTTTCGTTTCATAGGTTAGAGACTAGCACTTTGAATTTTGCCTGGAAGACAGCAGGAAGCTACTGCAGGTGTTTGAGCTGTGTTCCACACTTCACAGAGCAAGATTACTTAACAATGCAAATATTTTTGGTATTTTAAGGGAAATAGTGTTCCAATTATGCAGCAGACATCCTCAAGGGTAACTTATGCGAGTGAAAACTGAATACTGTAGTATTTAACATGACAAATTAAATAATATTGAGCCATGACTACCGGTGAAACAGTTTGTTACTTTATAAATGTTTCACCCAGAATGATAACTTTCTCTTTGACCTTTAAATCTATATTATAAAAAGAAAGCACCTTTAAAAAATGTGGCTAAAACTTACATTTCATAATACTTCTGAACTTAAAATACAGCTTGCAGCTGTCTTGGGTTGTTTGGCACTAGCACAAGAAGCAACTTTTGCTCATTAGCAGATTTTTGTTATCTGTTTGGACTACTGTTGTGCTGTTTGTATGAGACCTGAAATCCTGTTGCTCAGTCCGGTATGTCATAACTAGAGGAGGAACTTTGAATCAGTGGAACTTATGGAACGAAGCAATAGAATTTCTGCTGAAGTGCCAAATGTCTTTTGCAGTGCATTGAATTTAAAATTGAACTCACTCTGATTAGATTTACTTATGAAATCAGCTGCAGTGAGCTCCACTATTCTGCTTTGTATTACTCTGAAACAGAAGTGGGAAATGTTGTTGCTTAAA